AATGGCCACGCCGACATTTACAGTGACAGTGTCAATGGTTACAGCAGCGGTGACGGAGCCCCTGGTTCTAGCTCTAGCAGGGTCAAGGAGCAGATTGGCAACACCGAAATCAGTGTCGAAAACATTGTAGAGGGTGGCCGACGCAAGCGAGCCAAATTCGAGAGCTCTGTAAGTTCGCCGACCGCTACTTGTGCTTCCTTATCAAGCCGTAATCTCTTCGTACTCATCTCCCTCATCACAGGAGCTTCCATTGTTTGCGCCTCCGCAGATGCCGGCGGCCACGTCGAACCCCTCCGTGTCCCCTGCTCGTCGCAGCGAACCTCAGCGAGCTTCTTTCCCCTTCGTGCAGCCGGGCCAGAACCCCTTCACGAATCCCATCCCTCTGCAGTCTCCGCAGAGCCACAATAACGGATACGGTCATGGTGGGTACTATGCGACGCCATCTTCGGAGCGCCATGCTCGTGGCAGCATTGGGTACCCCGGACAGGGCAGTAACTATGGTGGCATGGGTGGAATCCTGCCGACTCCGGACCCCACTGTTGGCAGTTGCATGTCGGAGGAGGACAAGGATGTGGCTATCCAGCTTATGCGTCTGGGTGAAATGTCCAACATTTCACACGGTCGCACTTCCGCTTCTACCCTCGACGATACCTTCAGCGGTCGCGCCGATGCCGCCTCGTCCACTGGAGCCACTAGTGACGGCGACAGCGAGAGCGAGGAAGAGTGCTCGGCTTCCCAGCGCCAGCAGCTGGATGCTGCCGGCATCATGCGCAAGATGTACCAGACCACGGAAAGCCACTTCATCCCTCAGCCGAGCATCGAGACGAGCGGTGATGATGCCGACATGGAGGACGCTCCCGACGTCCCGGCCAACACGGAGCGCAAGCCCGAGGCTTTGAAGAACAAGACCAATCTCCCGGACGCCAGGCCCAAGACCCAACTGCCCGGGTCCAAGCCCAAGCCCAAGGTCAGCAAGGTTCCCCGTCCCACCATTGCCAAGCCCAAGAAAACTTCCGCCACCGCGAGCAATGGCCCCATGTCACCTGCTTCCCTGCCTCCGTCGCGCAAGCCGTCAATTGCTTCTGCTCCCACCGTCCCGGGTGCTCCTGGCGAAGAGGAGCAGCTGGATCTCTCTGCCAAGCCTCGTTGCCAGCGATGCCGCAAGAGCAAGAAGGGCTGCGACAGACAGCGGCCCTGCGGACGATGCCGCGACGCCGGCCTCAGTGCCGATCAGTGTATCAGCGAGGACGAGGGCAATGGTCGCAAGGGTCGCTATGGCCGACACATGGGTGTCCCCATTAAGAAGGAGGACATCACCAACCCCATGCAACCCATTCTCCTTCCAGCTGCGCCCATTTCCACGACGGTCGCTGTCGCCGACAAGAACAAGAAGAGGAAACGGTAAAGCAACCGTGTCTCGCAAACGATTTTCCACCCTCGGTCACTCGGCGTAGCGCCGGTACCACAGAGGTTCAACACTGTCTCTACCAGGATGAGGATATTGGCCTGCCGGTGTTTGGTAACAGCAATGTTTAACAATGATTGGGGAAGCTTGGACTAGCACGCCACTGAGTGCTATCTACGGCTGCAGCATGAGGTGGAGGGATTCTTGATTTCTTTTCTCTACGGTCTGGTCACACAAGACCACCTGGCAAAGGGCGGGGGATAAAGACTCGGCGGGGGGTTAATCGGGGTTTGCCGGGTGAGGACTGTCAGTCACACTCCTTTTGGCGTTTCGGATCTGTTTTATGGGAAGCGGTGTTTTTTTTTGCTGTTTACTGTTTCTTTCTGCTTTGTTGCGCGCATCATGTTTTTCTGTCTTGCTCTATTTTCTTCAATGCTGGCGAAGTCGTGGCGACAGAGAGCTACAGTTTTCGGCGAAGTTGTGCAACTGTACGATGTGAAGGGCGACGGAAAGTTGAAAAAGCAAGCGGACGTGTTGGTACACAGGCATGAACACGCGCGCATATCCATGTGCGCCTGCGCCTGCGTCTGTGGTGGTCAAGGGATAAGTCGGGAGAGGGATGTGGGATGGGCCGGAAGGGGGAAGGACAAACAAAAATAAGGCGGTTTTCTGCGACTTGCAGGCGAGAGACTGTTACGGGGCTCGCGCATGGTTCAAATTGTCCGCGGATGAGGATGATGGGAAGAATCGCTCGCCTGCAGTTTCGTGCTACGTTGTTTCCTATATTGGTGAGGAGGTGGGAGCTTGCGCGCACCGAGCTTCACCACTCCTATTTCTGTTGAGCTTTTTCCTCTCTGAATTTTCCCGTTGGAAGGAAAGTGTGGGGGAAAGGGAGAGGCGATGCGGCTACGATACGACTGTTTTTCTTAGTGGCAAAGCTTACTACAAAGAAAGGCCAAGTAAACAAAAAAGACATTGATCATCAAAACATGTTCCGGCGTGATGCGACCATCGGTTGAAGTTTGCGACGGCGCAAAACGGAATGCGCTGTCGCACCGTCCCCGGGGCGGAGCGGGGGAGCGTCACAACGGAAGTCGTTGAAAGATGGCTGCGGGGCTAAGCCCAATCCGACACTAGCGCGCGGTTCTCGCCGTTGCATCCCGTTCCGGCTCGGCCAGGGAGGGGAGGGGTAGGAGGTTGGTGGCGGTGGTCCTTTTTTTGTGGCGGGCGCGCAAGACGGCGGTTCCTCTGCACAGTGTGTGGTCCGTGCGCAGCCCGAGCTGGCGGGGGCTGGCATGAGCTCCTTGCGCCCTGACTGGCCCGCTGGGGGAAGGGGGGCTTCGCGTGAAATGTTAAGGCGCCTCGACGAGGTACTTCCGCTGGCGGGGTGCACGGTGGTTCGGGGCATGTGGTTCGGATTATTACGTCATTTGTCGAGAGAACCCCGCACTCATGGATAGCTCCCCGCATTGAACTTCACAGTGTTGAGTGTTTAGGGATTTTCGACCACGATTGCTGAAGAACTGCGATTCTTGTGCGGGATTTCGAGCAGCCCAGAACAATTACGCTGTGCCGGTGTATGCACACCAAGCAATTGGAGCTGCAACAGATCATGGATGCTTAATTTGCGCAGTTGATTTGCTTCCGAGCCCGCTACTAGCGATGGAGGCGAGCGAGTTACGGATTGGGTTTTGGATTGAGCGGTGAGTCGGGTTTTTTCTGCGCTGCGCAATTGGGTGAGTTCGGTGCGCATGGGCTGCGCGTTGTTTTTGTTGTTGTTGTTGTTGTCGTTTGTTTACTTTTACTCGTTTCGGAGCACAGTACGGTTTGCTGGTTGGTCGGCGGGCATGGCTTTGCGCCCTTTTTTTAGTGTTTGGAGTGCTGCGCTCTGCGCTTCTGTTTCACTGGGCTTGATGCGCGAATCCCAAATGCGATTGCGTCCCCCCTCCTCCCCTCTTCCCGCCCCTTGTTTTTTTTTTTTTTTTTGCTTGACAGGTTGCGCTGGTAGACAGGCGGTGGCGAAACACGAAAAAAACGTCAGGTCCCCATTGTTATCCCAACGAGCGGGGGGAAATGGAAGGGAAGGGAAGGGGGAGAGCAGCTGTTTCGCTCATCCCTGGAGGATCATTTCACAGTGCGTGCATGAAAGCTTGCTTTGCGAGAGGAGCATTTTGTTTGAGACAGATTGCCAGCGACGGCTCCTCCGGGTTGGACGGCACGATAAGCTGATGCGCTCGTCGCGCGGCGCGGCGAGCGCGGAGTCGTGGGATGACGGAGGTGAGCAGGCCATGGGGTTGGCAGAGGCGCAATTGGCCCAGATGCATGGAGCGAGTCTCATCGTTGTTATTGTTATTGTCGTCGGGCCCGTATCGGCTGAGAAGGGACAAGTGGTGTGCGTTGTCTCTGATGCGACGTGATAATAATGCGCGTGTGCGCTTGCGCCGTGCCGCGATGCGATGCGATGCGATGCGATGCGTCAGAGTTGTCTTGCTGTGCGATGGGGAATGTGAATGCGCTTCGCATCCGATTCGGCGCCGACGGTGTTGGATGTTTTGTGGGGCGGGAATCCGTTTGTCCTCCGCTCTCGCTGGTGGTTTCCGTGAGTGTCGGAATCCTGCGCCGAGTGTGTGGTGCTGATATGGAAGTAAAACTACGATGGTTAGATACCTGCTTACGCAAGCAATAACGGTTGTCGGTTTTGTTCTGTTGTTGTAATATCGGAGCTACTATTTTACGGACACTACAAGAGTCGGGCACTTCCTGTGCATCTCAGTGGTGTTCTTCACGATGCATTCAAGCTTGCCCAGCAAAGTTGATGGACAATTTACACCGAGTGTCAATGCAGATAGTCTTAGCCTAGACCAGTTGGTTTTCTAAGATATGAGTGGTTGCTTGACGGTAAGCATCAAATGGCCTACACGACAGCTGCGGAGACGATTCAGCGACTGATAAGGCCCGTCGAGCAGCTCGCAGGACTGACGGTGAGGACGGGAGCAAATAAACCCGCCAGTCCGGCATCCAAGGCAGCCTACAGACTACCGGGGAATAGCAGGCCTTTTATTCACCGGTGTGATTTCACGACCTGGGAAAGTCTCCCCGGGATCCTCACGCCGACGATAATGGCGGGCGCTTTCCGTCGGCCACCCGCTATCTTGCCGAGCGCCGGATGGCGCATAGCTTGTCTGCTAATGTAAGGCGCAAAGGCGCAAGGCGTACAAGACGTGCGCCCAGTCGCAGAAGAGGAAAAATGTCGAGCGTTTTTTCGTGGGGTCCGCTTCCGACCGCCGCAGCGGGAATAAGCCCGGGGCCTACTACCGCGTCCGTTTCTCAGTCTCTCCGGTACCTTTCGGTTGTCGGGAGGGGCGATCTCGGTCGTCTGTTTTTACTAATACAAAGCTAGACTCCCACCGCTTCCAGCCTCTTTGGCCATGACGATTATATAACTTTTCCGATCTTTTTTTGGACATTGTTAAACCGCTTTCTGGGCCACATATTATTGGGATAAATTCCTTCGATGGACTCCATGAACTTTTCGAATCAGACGTGTAATCATTTCAGCAGCTCCAAGTAATCAGCAGCTTGCTGTCGTTGAACAATGACCGAAACGACAGACATCGTCCGGAGCACCGTTGACGGCCCCGGACCGGCCAGCAACTCGGACAAGTGCCAGAATGGAGCGACAACCACAACTGCGGGCGCGCCTGACGACGTCCGAGAATGGTCCGCCGAGCATGACCTGGTGTACCCGGAAGGAGGATGGACAGCATGGTCCCAGGTCCTAGCTGGCAACATGCTGAACGCGCTGGCATGGGGCTATCCGGCAACGTTCGGCGTCTACCAACTGTACTATACCGAGAAGCTGCACTTGCCGTCAGCCCAAATATCGTGGATTGGCTCGATTCAAATCTTCCTGACGTTTGCCATTTGTACAATCTCTGGCCGCCTGACGGATGCGGGATACGCACGGCAAGCGGTTCTCGTGGGCTGCACTGTTGTCGTCTTTGGCACCTTCATGACGAGTTTGTGCACCACATACTGGCAGATCATGCTCGCCCAGGGAATATGTACCGGTATGGGTTTGGGGGTGTTGTTCATGCCAAGCGTCGCCATCATCGGATCATACTTCAAAGAGAGACGATCTCTCGCGCTGGCCATCTCAGCCACAGGCACTGGCGTCGGCAGCTTGATCTTTCCCTCTACACTACAGTACCTTATCCCTCAGGTCGGATTCCCATGGGCTGTGCGCTGCTCTGCCTTCGTCGCACTCGCTGTTTCCATCATAGCAAACGTTTTGCTGCGTCCCAGACTTCCGCCCCGAAGATCTGGCCCATTTGTCGAGTGGGGAGCGTTTCGAGAAGCGCCCTATATATTGTTCGCGCTGGGTGTCTTCCTCTATTTCATGGCGCTTTACTTTGGCTTCTTTTATGTGAGTCTTATGAACTGTGTGGCACGTATTCCAGGCGTCAAGCGTTAATCGTTGCGGTAGATCAACACTTACGCCCGAAAAGTCGTGGGCTTCTCAACGACGGAGTCTGTCTCTTTGCTTCTGATCACCAATGGTTTGGGCATCCCTAGTCGGCCAGTAGTTGGATACGTTGCCGACCGCTACCTCGGCCCAATCAACACCTTCATGCTGATGACGTTTATTCTGGGCTGCATGGAATTTGTCTGGATAGGGGTGAAGACGAGGACTGGCATGTATATTTTCAGCGTTTTCTTCGGCCTGTCCAACGGAGCAGCACAGGGCGTCTTCGTAGGCGCTTTGGCAAGCCTGACGGCTGACCCGCAGAAGATGGGGACGCGGTTTGGTATGATTGCGACGTTGTCCGGTTTCGCGTCTTTAGCTGGACCTCCAACGGCCGGTGCCATCATCGACAGGTCGGGAGGGCAGTATCTCGGAGCTCAGATCTGGGGCGGAGTGGTGATCATCGCAGGCTCGCTGACAGTAGGAGCGGCGAGGGTAGCCAAGGCGGGGAAAGCTTGGGGTGCCAAGTTGTAATGCAAGTTGAAAGACAGAGGCAGGCGGACTGCAAATCATATGGATGGTCATGGGGAATGGTATCTTGATAGAAGCGGGTCATAGAGCGACTCGGGGGGAAACCCAAGCACATGTGGGATATGCGTAAGGTAGAATGAACATGATTGATTGCGACATGAGCCACGAGTCTTAGCTCTTTCTCAATAACTCGAGCGCTTCGGAAAGCAACCTCGCAATCTGCTTGCCATCTTCCCAGACAAAGTCATGATCGTGGGTAAGGTTCTTAATGACTGTGCACTCGACACCGTCATTCCTCAGCTTGGAGGCCATTCCATCAATCTCGGGCTCGTCGACCAGCGTGTCATCGGGGGACCATGCCAGCATGATCAACGGCTTTTTGGGCAATGCTTCCTTGAAGCTTCCGGGGAAAGTAGCGGGCACAACCCTGTTCCAGGCTGACTGATCGTTGCCAAAAGCACCAGCAATGAACTGCGTGTAGTTTTCGTCGTGACGGCCATTGAAGGCATTCAGCTCATAGATGCCAGAAATTCCCACAATGGCCCTTGGCATTTGTACGTCAGGTGGAGGAGCGGCGCCGAGGGAGGAAGATCCCATGGGGAGCTGGAGGGCGAGTGTAGCACCGGCCGAATGGCCCATGAGAATGTAGCGGTCCTGAATGTTGTATCGGCGCTGGAGGAAGGCGAGGGCCGACCAGATGTCACGGAGGTGGTCCGGATGTTGAGCGCAGCGGAGCTCCGCCGGCGCAGTGACAGCGGGGTCTTGCGGGAAGAGGGGGTGCGGGGAGAGACGGTAGTCAATGCTGATGAAGCCGCGGATCTCATTCTTGGGAACAGAGGAGGCCTTGACGATTTCTCGGATGGAAGGTGTGAAGTCCTGGAAGGTCTTCCGGGGGTCTCGCCAAGCACCACCATGGATCCAACTAGTCGAATATGTGAGCTAGCGAAGCTGTCGTGATAAGAACGAGTGGCACTCACATGACCCAGTATTTGGACACATCGTCAGTGGCAACAGGGTACTCCCAGACGCCTAGCTTCTGAAGCTCATTGTCGGGAGTATAATGATGCTCACTATACTTCAACGAGACCGGCATGATGAGTTCCAGTTGAGGTCGAATTATTGTCGATGGGCGGGCGTCTTGTCGCAGTTTCTGTGAGATCAACGCTGGGTGCAACCAGGTAGAGCACCTGGAGAGGGAAAGCGAGAGAGCGATAAGCCGCAACGCAGGCCACAAAGCAGGCCTGAGGGGGGAACGGTTCCGAGAGTCTGGAATTCTCCGGGACGAATGCTTGGCAATGGTCGTCGAGGCTTCGGGATGGTGAGACGCTGCGTCAGGCGTCAGTCCGACCGGTTGTTTTGTTGCGCGCGACTTTCTTCACAGTTTGGCGGTGGTTGCTGATTGGAGTTCAGCGATAGCGAACCTCAAAGAATGGAAAGTATGGGTGGGGTTCCGTCTTGCTCTGGCCGTCCAGTCTCCGTGCTCCCGTCCCTGCATCGGCGTCTGAAAGGAACCGTTTCAGGTCATCCCAACTGGGGAGTGGCAGCCGGCGCACGGAGCACTTCCCCGTCCAAGTTTCCGTAAGGTACGGTATCTGCCCACAGTTCCTATACCTACCTAGGTACCTAGGTACCTTAGCTATAGGCACCTTAGGTGGGCGGGCACCTTACCTTGCCTTTTGGTTCATCTTTCCTTGACCTTTCAAACCCAGATATCAACCTGGGTGTGTTGACTCCCGTTGTGCCAGTCCTCGGATAAAGGGGCATCTTATCACGTCAGTTGTCAGTATTCCTCGCTCGCCAATCGGTATTTGCTTCGTCCCAACCCCATCACTCGACAAGCCGCCTCGTACACTCGCTCCACAAGATTCGCCAAATCGTCCACGCAGATCAATCGTGACTCTGGACTGGCCGTGGATCTGAATCTGCAGAGAACGTGAGGCTCAAGCGCATACTATGTAAATAAGTCGCGGCCAGCCGCTGGGTTACACCCAAAGTGGCACAGTCTGGCGACGCCATCACATCAACGTCGCTTTGGCTACTCTACGGGTAGCAGAGAGCCGCAAAACGCCTTTACCGACCTGGAACGTCAGCACTCATGCCATACGGACAGCAGTCCCGTTTGTTGGATTTGCGATGGCCTGATGGCGAAAGGATGCCGGGCTCGGTTAGGGGATGTTGGCCGTTGGTGCAGCGTTACATTCAAGCATCAGACAACCCTCGTTCAGTCGTCCACGGGTGACACCATCGATTCTACCACAAGCCTTAACACGCAGAGCGGCAGACCGGAGCCGGCTTTTCGTCCCGACTTGCACGGCAAAGCTCGCGCATGCCATACACCAACGTCCCGAGTTTTATTCAGGGGGGGAAGATGCGAGACCGGCATAAGGAGGCACATGGTGGAGGGCAGAGTTTGATGTTTTAATATCCGGGTGATGATCTGAACCAAACTTCAACGAGTCCCTTACTTCTGCCGAGGCCACAGCAAAACTCTCGGGCTTCGCGCAGCTCAGTCACTGTGGAACCGGACCAGCGAATGTTGAACAGGCCTCGGCCGAGACCTTCCAGATTTCACAGTGAGGAGCCGTGAGAGATTTCGAGATGTGGGAATCGGATAGGTATCCGCAGGGCCAGCCGCCAGCCCACATACCTTGAACAGGCGACATGCACATTCTTTGTCGGAGACAGAGGCCCTTGGAGGCTGACACGATTGCTCATGGGTAGCGACTCCTCCTGCCTATTCCTTCTGTCTGTCCACCGCCGCAGATGGCTCGCGTCGGGCTCTCTGGCACCATCGGCTCCTCTGACCCCAAGCTGCCGGGGTAGTTGGTGCTGGCCGCGGTCTGGACGCAACTGAGGTATCGTGGTACTTGCTCGCGTGCTGAGAGCTCCAGAGAAAACCAAGTATCCGTAGCATAGACAGACGCAGCTCTCTCTTAGGTCTTCGTACCTTGGCTGCATGTTGCCCATGCGAGCAATGCACGCCGACAGGAACCACTCCTGCGGCCGCTCTCGCAGACGAGAAGCAAGACAACATAACCGGCGCTGGGCACAGACGGTGCAGAAGATGAAGTAGGGCCTTGGTTTGAAGAATCATTCGACCTTCGTCATCGTCTTCTTCCTTCCATTCCGCTTCTAGAGCCAAGTCCGTGCCTTGACCCCGTTGTCCTGTTGTTGTTTTTGTCCATCGACAGATGCGAACCACTACTTAACACAGCGATAGCCCTCGCCCTGCAATGTTGATGATGAGTTCCACATTCGATCCTTCGGGCGTGCAAATTCACTCGTACGCGCAACCTTTCCTGCAAGGCACAAGTCCATCGTTAACGGTGGCGGAGGACGCGGGACCCGACTCTCACCCCAGGCTACATACCAGACAGCATCGCCCATGATCCATCACGGAGAATGAGGGCAACCGGGCATTAGATGCCCTCCTTCTCCGAGTCCTGGCCACCGTCCACCCCCGCCGGACCACCTGTCACTGACGGCAAGCTTTTGGCAATCTCCCATCTCCAGCATTCGTAGCTGACGGGCAATAGCGAAATCTCCTTTCCCCAAGACTCATCAATCAAAATCAATACTTGCCAGCACGCTATTAACCGAGAGCGGAGCGGCGTTGTTTTGTCAAGATGCAGCAAGGACCTTTTGCTGGCACCAGCACAACCTTCACAGACCCTAGGACATGATGGTGGATCACCTAGCAGGCTCCAGAATGTCTCCGTTCTCGAATTACCCCGAATCGAAAGCGCGGTTCTCTTCATCTACCGGCAGCCCGGCTCATCTGCGATTCATCGACACATGCAAAAGTGCTGTCGCCTTTGAGGTAATACGAATCAGCCGTCGAACGGATGAGATGCAATGGTTCCTCGGTCCTCTGACGATCCGGGTCCATCCCCGCCCAGCTCGGGATGGACACCAACAAGTCGCAACACACACAGCCCAGACAGGGGTAGGCGCGTCTTTTTGCTTTTGCCTTCTCGGTTTCTTGGCTTTATTGCAGCTCTCCCGTCCGCTGTCTCCATCTTCAATGCTCCCCCGACCAAACTTGTGTTACGTTCAAGTTGCTTTTTGATCTTCCACTGGCCAGCTTACAACGCGGGAAGGGCAAGGAAGCCAACCCCCCCCCCCTCTCCATGGTTGAGTTGGATTGCATGCGAACGCCGACCGGTTTGCTACCCAAGCTTGAATTGTCCAACTAGATGTTGCCGCTTCGTTGCTTCTTGCTTCCGCCAACTACATCGTTCGGGTCGTCGTAGCCGACTGCTTCACGCAACTCGACTGGCTTGCCAGATGTCCTCCCCCTCATGATGCCGCGCCAACCTCTAGTGCAGTTTACCCTCGTCGGCGTGCCTTTACTACACTTCAGCAATTCGTGCGGTTCACTAGCGCGCATTATATTGCACGGCTGGTGTCCAGGGATGATCCAAATCGCTGGGTCCGACCAAAGATTCGTCTGCCATGTCTAGCGGGCCATTTTCCATGTTTTGACCCAGAGCCGTCGGTCCAGAATCGATCCTTGACTTCTAGCTTGATTGCTAGGCCCATCGTGACGGGGATGAGGCCCGGTCGACGCCAACTGGAGGTAAGTGAGAGATGAACAACATCGGTCAAGCTCAGTAGCTTGCGGCGTTGGTCCGTCAATGTCTCGCGGGGCAGCACCGGGTTGCCTTGATGAAGATTTTATCTCTAGAGTGCATGAGATCTCGGCTAACGACTGTTATCCTTCCTGTTGTTGGAACAGGTTTGCTGCAGATGTCTCAGCAGAGAAGAGGCACAGCAACACGCCACCCCACACTGGGTTGCCTGTTATTGTTGACCATGACAATCTCTTCCTTCAGTCATTGGCACCGATGTGCACATCCCAGAAAGGGTGCGAGGTGCTCGAACCAACGAGACAACCTGCAGACAAGGCTAGTTCGTTTCTCTGAGTCGTCGGGAGGGTACTTCTGTCTACCCGATCATGCCTGGGCCCGGGGTCTCCATCGCTGTGCGTCGTTCCTGCAGCCCTCATCACGTACTATGTGTAGGTACGTGAGACGGACGCAGTTGCAAATTACAGCCGCAGACTGTGGCCCGGCATGAGTAGTGTCAGCGATTACAACGCGTTTCTTCGTCTTCCATCACGCCGGAAACGCAAGCTGTAGTCATCGCTACCGGTCATGAACTTCCTCTACCCACATCGACCAAAATCAGTCGTCTGCTCCAACGTAGGGAGCCTTGCAATCGCCTACAAGCCTTCACACCCTCTGCGTACCACTACATGCACAAGAAAAAGTACAGAAACTACGAGTCAAAGAAGCCAAAATTACCGCCTGGCCAGGTCTCTGAAGTCCCACTGACTCTCTTCCCTCCTTCACCACCATCACCATGCAGCCGGACCGGACTGGCGCACGTCTGTACCCCCGTCGCTCTCCACATGTCGACCCTGTCCTACCGGGGCCCATCTCCGGGGGTCTCAGACTCGGCGACCCTCTCTCGTCCGCCTTGAGCAAGTTAGGATTCTAGCCCATGAACCCTTTCAGCCCGAACCAGGACGACCCCTGGCAGTCCAGCACCGTCTATCGTGGTTGATCAGCTTAAATCCCATCGGGCCGCATATCTTACCACCCCAGTCTGTTTCCCTTCTCTTTCCTCTCGTTTGGCCATGCTCTTCTCCCATTGTCATTCCTTAGAGCATCGCAGTGCCACAGCCCTATGGCTGAGGTAGACTTGTCAGAGAGCAATGGTGGTGCTCTTGTAGCCACCGCCGTTACATTCCTTATTCTCTCTTGGTTCTCTGTCGTTCTCCGCGCCTATGTTCGTGCTTTCATGACCAAGGGTTTCCAAGCAGATGACTGGCTCATGCTTGTTGCCCAGGTAAGTCTCGCCTGCCCCAGTGCGTGCAGTGATTTACCCTAACCAGATGGACGAAGGCAATCTTTACCCTTTCTTGCGCTTTCATTCTCGTGGGCGTGCGTGATGGGCTGGGCCATCACAACGTAGCACTCCAGCAGAAGGAAGAGATATCGGCTTTAATGGTATGCTACTCTTGGCGCTTCAGTAAGCATCCAGTCTAACATTTATGTGCAGTACCAAGCTCTCGCCACGGCAACATATGTCCTTAACATGCTCTTCATCAAGCTGAGCATCGGGTTCTTCCTGTTGCGACTGTCGACTTCCATGGTTTACAACTGGATAATCTACGTCAGTTTGGCGATTATTACCGTCTGGAGCACGGTTATCTTCTTCTGGAATATATTCCAATGCTCTCCGGTAGAGGCGCAATGGGACTACACAATCTTGAACTCCCAGTGCGTGTCGCCAAACGCGGTTGTTGCAGCAGCCTACTCAATCAGCGTCATGACTATCCTGAGCGACTGGCTTTACGTGAGTTCAGTCCATGGTTTAATGGCGTTTATATGTACAAAAGCAATTGCTGACTTTGCAGGCTCTGATTCCTATCCCTCTTATCTGGAATGTCAAGATGTCGAAGCAGGCCAAAGCTACCGTGATTGTGATTCTTGGCCTGGGTATCTTGTAGGTTGACCGAGCCTCCGTAACATAGACGCTGAGCTAACAGGTCAACAGCGCTAGCATCGCCACGTTGATCAGACTCAAGTTCCTCGCTGACCTGAGCGACTTGAGTGACATTTTATGTAGGCTGTCCATCCAGCCTCGGACATGGATCCGAGGAGCCAGTATAAATCGCCCACGCATGGATTATGCTGACCTCGCTTATAGTCATGGGAACCGACGCCATGGTGTGGACTCTTGTCGAACCGGGCGTCGCAATCGTCGCATCGAGTCTTGTTACCATCCGACCTCTCCTCCGAGCCTGGCGACTCAATGGATTCACATCTACCGACCGAACGCCGGGAATGAGCAACATGAGCGGGGGCATGAGATCAGGGCCCATGAGATCGGGAACAACAAGGTCGGTGCGCCGCCCGCCTGGGTATGATCTCGACGACATCGATAACATGGAAATGGGTGGCTTCGGAAAACATGACGGCGAGATCGGCTCGATGCCTCGGGAGCCCACATTCGCGGCTGTATCGAAAGAGGTGGATGGAGGACAGCTCACACCCGATTTCATGGCACCGCCGGACCGGAGAAGGGCGGACGTCGTCAAGAGCGAGATGTACATTATAGAAGGAGCGAATAAGTCTGGGAATACCTGGAGAGGAGGGAGCGGTTCTCCGAGCGCATCTTCAGTGGAACTCGACGGCCTTGACGCGCAGAGCCAGCATAGCGGCCGGGTTGGTCTTGGGAGGAGTAATTAAAATGAATTGGAGAGAATAATCCACGGCGACGTCGACATTATCAAACTTGTGCTACATTTATACGGGACTCACGGCTAAAGGGGACATCCCGCTTCATCTGGGAGAAAGTGGTTACGGCCGCGAAAGGCGGAGGAATCGCACAAAATCTTGGGTATTAGTAGGCCAGGGACTTCAAAAATAGAGTGTAGATGTATTTTGTATTACATGATTTCTACGCGACCACCTCCGGCCAAGATCAATTTGGCCAAACAACGATACCAGACGCTGTGAACTGAATAGCAGGCAATACCAGGCTGGTTCAAAACTCAGAATGGATCCTGTTTGTACGCCTTCTCAGATTCCGCGTATGCGTCATAAGCATACAAGAACCTCTGTATCTCAGGACAGGTCCACCGCGAAGGGAAGCCAGGCTCGGGTCCCTTTCCGGGCTCTAGCGACGCCACCATGACCTCGTCGCGATGTTCTTGCTCTGGGCCATCCATCATATGAAAGTCATCACGCTGGCGGAAGGATTCCATGACGATGCGCTGGCCACGGCCCATGCGGAGGCTTTGATACATCGCCGCCGCCGCAGGAAGTTGCGCGGCCTTCGTCTCTCGGCTGCTCACTTTTCCAAGGAGATATCCCAGAACAGCTCCATCTTCCAGGGACGAGTTCGCGCCTTGTGCGAGGTAAGGAAGCATCGGGTGACAGCAGTCTCCAGCCATGAAGAATTTGCCTTCGGGACTCGCCCATTCCTCCAGCGGCTCGATCCAGCAGAGCTTCCATTTGTGTACACTCTCGACCTGGTCCAGAAGCTTGCGCAGGAGTGGATCCCATTTCGAAAAGAGCGAGCGCATCTCCTCAACGTCGCCCACGACCTTGGTTGACCCTTCGGGGAGGTTGTCCGGCGACAAAAGACCGAGGTTGAGCATGCGGCCTTGCTTGACGGTATACGAGACCCCATGGCCCTGCGGACCGATCCAGAAGTTAACCGTCTCAGACTTGATGAACGCCTCGAGCTCCTCTTTGTGGGGGCCTTTGAGCGAGTCGATAGGTATCGCAATACGAAATGCCAGGTCGCCGGTCAGCGCGGGCGGGCTGGGACGGCCGAGGAACTGAGCCCGGGTGGTGCTCCACATGCCATCTGCGCAGACGATAACATCGCCAGGCACGATTATGCCAGGGCCGGACTCTGAGTCGTCCTCTATCGTGACTTCAGCGCGGTCGAAGTCGACAGAGACTGCTCGGGAGTCCAAACGAATCTCGACCCCGAGCGCCTCGCAGCGATCGACGAGGGCGCGCTGTAGCTCGACGCGGTGAAGGCCCCAGAAGGGATGGCCGTAGCGAGCTTCGATTGTTTGTTGAAGTTCGGGTTCGTGGGCAAGGAGGCGCCTGCCGTCATAGCGGTGGACGGAAAGAGTTGAAGGGAGGGTCGCGAGAGGTGCCAGAGCCGGGTAAAGGCCCCAAGCTTCGAGCAAGCGGGTCGCGTTGGGCGTCAGTTGTAAGCCAGCCTGGGAAGTGTAAGCAACAGAGTGTCTCGTGGGGTTTGAAAAATGCGCACCCCGACTTCTTGAAGCTCTTTGACCGTCTCGAGTATTGTCACTCGGTGGGATGGCTTCGCAATCTTGGTCGCGAGAGCTGTCGCAAGACCCGCCAGACCGGCACCAATGATGACGACATGCAGAGGTCCCGACGCAACGGACCCCGATTCTCTACTCATCTCGGACAGTTGAGGGCATTCGCGACTTCTTGTCGTGAATTCAGTTGCGGTCGTAAAGCTTGGGGGCTTAAGGGTCGCACAGCGCTTAGACTGATCTTCTTCTCTTTGGGTTCGTCTCCTCTTTCCAACACCACCGCAAGGAGCAAGTGGTGGTAAAAGGAAGGAAAACAGACCATTTCGACAATAGGGATGAATCGTACGCCGCAGTAAGCGCTGTCGTCGTGGCTTGGGTCACGGAGTATACGCGGGTTGTGGGGAAGGCCGACGGGACGACGCCGTCCCTCGTGTTCGTCCCATTAGCTACAGTCCGAACTAAAGTAGGGTAGGGTATCTTTCTGTCCTTTTTGGGTGTCTATCCGCTTTCACCCCGTAGCCCCCGTACATCTGTACATCTGATCAACGCAACGTGCTTTTCCTTTTCACCAGGTATGTCTTGCGGAACTAGCCGCATCCAATGACGGTGCGTGCAGTGTAATCCTCATCTGGATGTTCCTCAGCCCGAATCTTCGGGAATAACAAGATCCTCCGGATCGACAACCCATTCTTCCTCATCGCCCCAGGTCGGAGCGAGAACGAATCTGCCCATGATCTTGCCCATGCCAATACTATCACCGCCAACAACTCCCTGCCTCGTTTTCTCGTCCGACTCCTCCACAATCACCGCCGTCGTCAAGAAGTTCATACCTGCGGCAGGACTGAGCTCCAAAGTGCGGCCACCCCAATCCAGCTCGACTTTGCCTGATTTGCGGACCTTGATTTTGCCCATCATGCCAGCTTGCGAGACGAGCTGAGAAACATCTGTAAGATCAATATTCTTGCCGACTTCTTCCGTCTTTGGCTTGATGTTTTCATCCGATTTGGTGAGATCGACCGGTCCTCCGTTCGGCTGATCGAGCATGACAACATCGTCTGGCTCGGGCTTGACCTTTGGAGCGGCAGAAGGGTGCAGTGGCGGAAGGAGAGGGGGGAATTGGAATAGGTAGAGTCGGCCATCCTTGTCTTGCACAGCGCCATTCTCAGGTGCTTTTGAGTTCTCGTCCGAGACGGTGCCCAACTCGCTCAGCAGGAGCTGCATGTCCTGTGCGATCATGTCCACCTCAGGATCAGCCAATGCCTTCTTGACCTTCGGTTCAGGTGTAGGCTTCTCCTCAGCCTCGGTGTCTGCTGACTTGACGATGCTGAGATCAACCTCCATAGCACCTGACTCGGCTCCCGGCTCTGCCTTGACCTGAACCGCACCTTTGGGTGCTGCATGCCAGACCTTCGTCTCCTCGCCGACCTGGGGCGTAGGGCCAGACCATGGGCCATCTTCGACCCAGAGACTTTCTTCCGCCTTGCCGTCTTCAGCAGCCTCGAGCTCAGCTGTTGTCGCAATAACCTTCTTTTCTTCCTTTTTGTCGATTCGCGCGATGCCCATGGGCCAGATGTTATCGGGCTTTGAGTTCACCAGGGCTGCCGTCGCTTCGTCATCGGAATCGGGTTCTCGGTCAACCAGGTGTCCGGCGAGTCTATCGGCATTGATTCTAGCTTCGCGATGACCAGATGCCTCCCCAAAGGCACCCCGTTCGCTCTTAGCACGGCCGCCTCCGCCGAAGAATCCACCGCCAGAACCACCACCGCCGCCGCCACCTCCCCATCCGCCAGAGGATCTTGAGCCTCCTACGACCGAGTCAGTACGTTGACCCATGAATTTTCCATATCCAAACATACCTTCAAAGTGTATTTGCGAGAAAGGGCCACTTGCAACGGCAGTTCGGCCCATCATTCCGCCTCTGCCCATGGCATCTCCTCGAGCTCTCCGACTGCGACCGCGGGAACGAGCTTGAGCGCGAGCCTCTGCCTTGGCCCTCGCATTATCTTTGTCCTGCTCTTGTCGAGCGAGGACGTCTCGCGACGCCTCATCTCTGCGGACGACTCTGGGTCGAAATCTGCCTGCCGAGGTACCTCGTGTGGGTTGCCGCGTTGCGGGCTCGGATCTGGAGGGTGTGACGGTTGCTGAAGCGGTTTCAAGGGCCGAAGAAGGTCTCGAAGGCGGCGCAGGAGTGTCGCCGCTGGGTGTAGAAGCTTGGCGGCCTCCTCTGCCTCTGGCGGCTCCTCGTCCGCGGGCTCTGCTGGCGCCCCGAGCCGGGGTAGTACCCTCGGGCATTGTGATTGGCTGCTCTATGTGCTGATTGTGGCTCAGAAGAACAATGAGTGGATGAATTAGTATGGTACAAGAGAAATTGTCGGCCTCGAGTCCTATGGTAGGGTCGTCGAAGTCATGAATGAAGTCTGTATGTCTCCAGCAAAGGAAAAAAAAAAAAGATGGTTGATTACTTAGCGCGGTGGGGGACTAGGTAAGTAAACGTCGGGCGCCTCGTAATTTTTCAGGGAAGTTCCAGTCGAGGTGCTGCACGCATGGTGGGGTGAGTCAACCACCCCGCGCGGGTCGCAGTCGCAGTGAAGACAACAGTGGGCTTACCAGGTTCCAAGGTGTGTAGGTATGGAGGGGTAGTGAAGCTCGGGAGGACGGACATTCAACCAACGTCACCTATTCTCGATCAGCTCGAAACAATTAATCTTGAATTGTTTTCTGGATGGTTTTAAATATTTGAACAAACACACCTTCACTTCACACACATCAACGCTTGCTCTCCGAAGATTCTGGTAATGTTGCCTTCCCGGGATAACATGCTTCCAATCCACAAGCGGCCGGCCTCGACAGTGCTCGCTCCAAACTTGACAATGACACAACCCCGTACTCTGGCCGCTGACCACAAGATGCTCTGTTTCGTTTCCATTTCTATGCGCTTCAGTCGCCACAACTCAGCCTCGCTCAGATTGCTTTCCTCTTCCGCGCGCGCCTCTGCAGACCTGAAATCTCTTGCGCCCAAGCGGGGTAGTGCTGAAAACTCGTCGAGGAAAAAGTTGCCAACAGATTGCATTTGCGGGCCGCGAAGGATGAGAGTACCAAACAACCCGTTGCCATGCATCGATTCTCGCAATGATCTCCCGACCATGCCCTGGCTGTTCCTGTCCAGAATGACTGTGTCTCTCACGAGCAGACGCTTCTTGCTTCCTGGGGTCTCTGAAGAGGACCAAATCTCGTTGCGCCCAGACCATTTGACGAAACTCCAATCCTCGCCTCGCGCCGTTCTGCCTTGTGTCACCCAATCCAGCAGACACAGAGAGGCAGTCGGTGCTGCTGTAAAGATTTGGGTTTGTTCGTATACGCTTCCGTCAAAGGGCTGCACAGGATCCGGCAGGAGGCAGAGACCGGCCTCTTCGCCAATGTTGACCTCGAGCTTCTGGCGCGTGACGACGTCAGGAGACGGTGATTTGAAGATCTTGGTGTGACCCTGGGTGACAACACCGAGCTTCGCATGTGGGAGCACACGCATAGACAGGTTCACGCTGTCGCCTCCAACGAGTCCGCCGCCATAAGACAAGAGGAACACCAGGACACATTTCTGGTTGGCCGCTGGGGAGGGGGAGATGAGTTTCAGTGGATACTGGTATGACATGGCCTGCAAGCCCGAGAGCCCGTTTGGCAATAACTGAGCAACGATTTCGCCCTCCCCAGCAGCCGACGAGGACTTCGGGAATGGCGAGCCCATGGTTGCTGTTGTTGCGGCGTAGAAGTCGTTGATCGCTATAGGGGCTTGTCAGGAAGAGTCCGTCAGGTCATTGTTGATGCAAGAGGCACACGCGATTTCGGCTACCAAAGATCATCAGAAGAAGCCGACGGAACAAGCAGCAGAGCAGCATTGATCGACCTGGTCAATGGCAAGAATGAGTATGTTGCTCACCTGAAGTGTCCGTTATTAGGTCTATTATAAAACGCCGAGGTTCTCAGGTTGCGATGCCGGCCTTTAGATTGCACTGACTTGCATTTAGCACTTGGTAGACTTTGCCTGGTATCTATCTACCTCAGTGGCATTGAAAAGTCAAGTTGCGGAGCACGCACGTACTGTGCAGTTGCCGTCACCCTGACCCCTGCGTCTTGTTAAAATGCCGTGAGTCGAGTCTCATACTTTTATTCCTCTGTACTGTGCATCTGCTGCAAGCCATTGCCTCCCCAACCATTGAGCATTAGAGTCACCATACTCATGGCATCTAAACGAGTTCCATGATGTTCTCTTGCATCCAGCCGCACTCATGGCACATTCGGTTTTAATTGCGGAAACAGAGTCGCAGGCGCATCCAAGACGTGACAGCAGGGTTAGGGTGAGTACGTACCTAATGGCACCTCTGAGGCAATGTTCCCCAGGGGCTGTCACAGTGTCCATGCTCCCACTTGACATGACACGCACAGTACCGCGGCTGCTCGATCCACAGTTCTCCCACCCGCGAATTTGGAGAACTATTGCCTAAACATCTTCAACCGACACGCACTGCCTGAACGCGACATTTTCCCTCGTATGCGCCACCTCCCCGAACCTTCGCTCATCGGCGCGAAATAATTGTCGCGACTGCTGCGATCATTTACACGCTCCAGCAATCATTTCGCAAACACGCGACAACATGGAAAGCGCGACAGCATCTCCCGAGCCCGAGTCCTCGTCGCGTCGCCGGTCCGGACGCGTCGTGCGAGCCCCCGAGAAGTTCAGCCCAGAGCCTGTGACCGCACCAAAGCGCAAGAGAGGCCCCGATCACGATGAGGACGACGAAGAAAATGACGATAACGAGCCCCTGTCCGATGCCACGATGACCGATGGCGACAGCGCCGACGAACGTCCCCGCCCTAGGCCCAAGAAGCGATCTGCTGCTGCACAAGGAAACCGCGTAAAGAAACCCGCCACTAAGAAGCCAAAGACCAATGGTGTAGGCCCATCTGGTCACCCCGCGAGCCTGCCATCACGTCCCAAGAAGACGGTCAGAATCGCTGCCGTCGACAAGGAAGGCAGTGGCCTATATGGTATGCAGCATCCCTGGAATGTAGCTCTGCTTTCCATCACCTGACACTGACATGCCTCTGTAGCGGAGGTCTTTGGCTCTGGTTTGCCCTCTGAACACCTTGCGGATAAATGGCAAGAGAGGTATCAAAGGAATGATGCCCTCGCCATTGTCGAATTAGTCAACCTCGTCCTGCAAGCATCTGGCTGCGACCTCGAGATCACTGAGGACGATGTTCGTGACCCTGACAACTGTCAAGCTCGTCTTACTGAGCTTCAAGATCTTTTCCAGGAGGTAAGCTGCTATCACCCTGTCCGATTTGTCTTGTTGGTCAACTCTTTTGCTGACATCGTGAAGGAACAAGTCACAGAATATCCCCTCATCTCCAGGGCAAAGAATACCAAAGCCTTCCGTGACCTTCTCACAGGCTTTTTCAAATCTGTCGTCCGCAGTGTTCACGATACAGATGTCCTCTACAACGACCAGACTCTGATGGAGAACCTCGTGCGCTGGATAGCATCCATGTCAACTTCGTCGCTTCGTCCCTACCGTCACACAGCTACTACAGTCATTCTCTCCCTGGTGTACGGGCTGATCGAGGTCGCTACAACCCTTGATGCGCGCATCACGGCAATTGAACAGCAGGTTGCTCAAGCCAAGAGAGGCAAGAACAAGGCAAAGCTTGCAGAAATGCAGCACAGCCTTGACGAGGCCAACAACAACAGAGAGCTGTGCGGCCACCATATCAAGGACTTCTTCGATACCACGTTTATCCACAGATACCGAGATATTGATCCACGTATCCGGACAGAATGTGTCGAAGCACTGGGATCCTGGATCCTGGGTCTTCCCACAGTCTTCATGCAGCCGGAATACCTTCGTTACCTGGGATGGATGCTTTCTGACACGGTTGCTTCCACGCGACAGGAAGTCTTGAGACAACTTGCACGTATTTTCAGACGTGGTATCTCACAACTTGGCCACTTCATTGACCGATTCCGCCCTCGCCTCATTGAAATCGCGACGAAGGACGCTGAGGTTTCCGTGCGGGTGGCAGCCGTGAGCGTCATTAATGTTCTCCGGGATGCCGGAATGCTCGAACCGGAAGAAATGGATACCATTGGCAAGTTGATATACGACAGCGATATCCGAATTCGTAAATCAGTAGTGAGCTTCTTCGTGTCTTGCGTTGAAGACTTCATCACTACCAAAATGGAGGAGCTCGGCGGCCAGGATGCGCTAGATGAAGTTTTCGGCGAGATTGAAGAGGACGACTACGACTCGCCTCGCAGCACGTGGGTCAACATCAAGTGCTTGGCAGAGACACTTGCGGCATACGACGAACAGCTTGAGGGTGAACAGCAAGATGCGAACCCTCAAGGTCTAGCCGTAGCCGCCGACGTTCTTCAAGCAAGCGTGCCTGATACTAGGATATCACTCGCTGCTCAGGTGCTCTTCGACAAGGTTCCGTTCGTCAAGGAGTGGGAAGTCCTGTCCGGCTATCTGCTTTACGATCATACCGTCAGTTCCAAGTCAAGATCCAAGAGTGCCTCTACGGAAACGGCCTTTAAGAAAGCTGTTGGTCCTGTGGGCTCTGAGGAGGCCATTCTTCTGGAGGTTCTCGCTTCTGCCGTAAAAATGTCCTTGTTACAGTCGGCAGAAGCTGAAAAGGCTAGGAAGAGGGGCGGACGCTCCGAAGTCGCCGAGGCACAAGAAGACACTGCTCTGGATCTCGCGACGGCCATCCCTCAACTTCTCAACAAGTTCGGGGCTGATCCTGCCACGGCGACTATTGTTCTCAGAATGGAGCACTTTCTTGACCTTGAGGTTTTCCAAACATTGCGGCAGGATTCGACAAAATACGAGAAGCTGCTGGATGAGATCAGCACTCAATTCAACAGACACGATGATAAGAGAGTCATTGCCGAAGCGGCTGCTGCTCTTCTTCATTCTCGACAATATGAAGAGCTTGAGGAACTCACTGATGGAAAGCTTGCTGTGCTATGGGAGAATGTCATTACAACTTTACGTGGCTTCGACAAGACATGTGAGCTTTCCATCAGAGGCAATCTTGAGGCAGAGCATCTCACAGCGCTGTCTACTGTTCTTATGAAGATTAGTGAGCTAGCTCGCATCTCTGACCCTGTCGAGATCCTGGAGGCCGAAGGTCGGGCGGCCGATTCAATGTCGTCGTCGATCGAGATCCTGATCAACATCGCCAACCGCGGCACGTTCGATGACCCTAACGAGGAATTGGACGACTTGGAAGAC